GATTTGAAATGGAAGAGAGACTTAATTTAGATGATGAATTGTTTGGTTTGAGACTGCATCTGTTTTCTATGTTTATGGAGCTTAAAGGCCACTGAGAGACTACTTGGTCCAGTATTTCCAGGTCCAGTTGAAATACACCTATTGTGTGTGTACCTGTGTAACCCAGAGGTTATCTGTAATAAGTCCTAAATTCAGCCTAACTACAAACTGTTTTTGGATGAGGACAGAGATTTATTTCATGGTGCAGGTTTTCCAAGAATTTCAATCTAAGAAACAATGCTTAAATGCTCTAAAACCCAGAAGTTTTCAGGATGGAATGCAAACTACAAACAGTATCCTCTAGGAAAAAAGCTTCAGTAAGTTATTATTTGTTCATAAGTAGAAAGAAAGTAGCGTTGTTTTTCTGCTATAGGGAAGGACTTTTTATAGCTGCTTATAATTTTATCCTGTGAATGATGGAATTTCTTACCAAATCTGTGGAGCTGATAAACTTTCATCTTCCAAGTTTTCCCTGGTTTTGTTTTTGTTTACCCTCAGATAGTCACATAATCTACAATATACATCAGCATGATTCTTCTTTGCTTTTCTTTTTTAATATATTTGGCTTTGTAATAGCAGAAAGTTGGTTTTATCCATTGTTCTACTGTTCATTGGCAGTAACAGAAATTTTCAAGGTTCATATCTTTATGCCTTAAGGAGTACACAGCTTTATCATTGAGGGTCTTCTCCCTTACTAGTTCTCTCTCTTCGTTTTGTGTACTAGCATTTCACAGTAAACACCTGCAGTTATCCTCAAGTGCTCAGGTCATGATAACAACATTTTGCCAAAGCTTATACTCTATGTTCCTCTCTTTTAAAAGCAATGAAAGATTTGTTTAACTGAGTACAGTTCACATTTCTTTTATCCCATCAAATTCAGCTTGAAAATAAAAAGTAGCTCCAGATAAACTTTCATTACATTAGATAGATTGCTTTTCTAAACCCTACCCCATATTATCTCAGATACTCTTATTGGTTTCCCTTTAAATAGATCATTCTTCTTTGTGTATTTAAAAACATTCTTCCTATTTGTATATTGGAACCATCTGTCTTGTAGCAGTTCTCTGAGTGCTGGTGTGTTTATTTGATCCAGGCAAAAGGTGAAAATAAGAGGAAAAGGAGGAGGTGGAAGGAATGCCGAAAATTCATCCAAGGCATTAACTGGGGACCTATAGTATAATGTAGAGAATTATGTATACTTCTTGTTGCAATGGCTTTTGGGAGGAATACAGTTTTGTATGCCACATTAGACTGTGACACTGCACCCACCATATAAGCCATTTTTAGCATTATTATTTTTTAAAGTTCACATATGCCAGAATTTATACCCTGCAGTGATTAAAGCTCTGCTCGGCAAACTACAGACGAATTTTCAGTGGTGCTGAAGTCTGGAGAATAGCAATGACTCCATCAAAAATGTGCATCTTTGGAAATGGGACAAAGAAAGAGAAAAACCTTTTATGAGAACATGGGGGTTTATGTTTTCTGAGGCTGAGTTATTTTTGGCTATTGTTGGGATAATGGTAGTTTGATATCCCTCTTTCTCAGTTACGCATTAGGGGAAAATGGAATATTGTACTGCAGTCAAAGGTAGCTGGCGAAGCTGAAGAGGAAGATACTATCAGTGACTGCCTGGTCTCTCTTCAGGCCTTTACAGTGGGATTTCAAAGTATCACATTTTTTGCAATTAATTTAAAACTAAAAAACCAAGATGTGTAAAAAAAGTTACATTCACATGCGTACCAGTAGTTTTTGTCAGCCATTAGTTCTTGTTGAGAATTGAAGATTAGTTTGTTGTTTGGATTTTTTTCATTGGATATGTCTTGTCCAAAATGTACAGCTTTCAAGTTTGTGGAATCAGTCCCATATCAAAATAAATGGGAAGTTGCAATGGCAGCACCCAGAGTGCAACATAAGCTTGATGGGAGCCCTAAGCAGACTTCCCAGCTTACCCATGTATCTGCCAGTGGAGTAAGGGGCAGGATTGGTGCCTTCCTTGGAGGCTGCTCTCCAACACTGGCTTTACTCAGAGATATGCTCAGCTTCCATCCATAATCCCCATGGTATTTCTCTATTCCACAGTCCTGTCATGAGGGTCATATTTAAGTCTGAGCAGTATCATGTTAAAGCTCAGCAGACCACACCATCTGTGCTTCCTATGTTCATTAGTTTGCAACTAGGCAGGTAGCTTAGTGTCTTTTGTATAATTAGCACAGTGAAGGTCATCAAGAACAATATTAATGAAAGTTAAATACCCTTTTTATGGCAAAAGTTAGTTATTAAGAAGTTAATAAAGTTATTCAAAGAGTATAATAAAATTTGTAATCAAATTTCAGTAAAGCTCTGATTCCGAGTCCTGGTCTAACAAGATTTATTTAAGTACAGAAAAGTATGCTAGATTTGAAGGTTGGTGTTTTGGGTGCAGATTGCCCCTGGAATAAAAGCAGCTTCCAGAAGATAAGTCTAAACTGTAGTGAACAGAAAGTGTGTTCCAGTGCAGGCTGGTAAGCCTGGCTTTGCAAACAGTAGGCAAGCACTATGTTTTCTTCTATCAGCTTGAGGAAGCCAGGATTGAATTTAAATTGCTTGCCTGAACTGAAGTCCAAGTTATGTGCTGTCACTGCTATTCTGTCTCCAATTACTCAACCTGCAGTAGCCAAATTGAATGAAGATTATGCTTTTTTGCAGTGTATGCATAACCTTGCATCAATTCTAAATCAGAAATAGCCAAGACCCAAGAACACCGTATCTCGTTTACTGAGGCCAGTGCCTTGTTCTGGTTGCTCAGGCATCTGCTGCTGCTTGCTAAGCTTTCTCTGTAACATTGGGAGCTGCTGCTTAATTTCCTGTAACAATTTTCTTGGCTTGGTTATGCTGACTATAGGAACTATCTGCAAAGAATAGCTGCTACTAAAATTTCTACTATCTTTCTTTCTGTAATGATACAAGGCTTTCATGCCTGCATTAGTTTCTGAAATTAATTAATCTAAGTCTTTCTAATACTTACTGTGGTAAGACTAGAAAAGCAATAAACAGTGCAGATAAAGGATGAAATGGTTTAATCTCATTAATTAATAAAATACAGAGTATCCAGGTGCAAATATTACTCCTAATCAGTTGGACGAGACACACAGAGCCAAGAAAATATGTCTCAGCTATAAATGAAGGTGTAGTTCAGTTAGTGTGTAGTTGGTTATTTTTTTCTTTCCTGGTTTTAATAGCAACTTCACATCATAATTAGGAGGATTAAATTCCTGCCAGCCAAGTACAGAGTTTGGACAGATTAAAGGGAAGAGGTATGAGAAATGATAATTGCTTTGTGCTCGTCAGGCTTCTATTGAAAACCTGACAGGATAATTACAAAATACCTGCTTTGCACAATGTCTAGGCAAATTTTTACAGAGCTATTTAAAGTTATTCGTTTACAGCCTGTCTGAAAAGAAAAGTTTTTCCCCCTTTTTGAAGTAGTTCGTTACCATGTTGATGTGTGGTACATGTTCAAATATAGACCTCATTCTCATGTGCACGCCTGGCTGTGTTCCACTGCCCACCCCCAAAGAAAATTGCCCATCATTTTTTGCATTACCCCACATATTTCGCCCACATGCTCACCCCTAACTTTCAGCAGAATATTATTTCACCTGATGGAAACCGTAACCTTGTTGCTTTCAACAGGCTGAATCATAGTCATAGATAAATTAGTTGAGAGAGAAATGTTCCATTGGACTACAAAACAACCTTTGTTTTGACTGACAGTAAGAAGTTGTTCTACTTTCAGCATGTTTTCACGTCTCATCGCATGGCTTTTCTTCACCTGCTTTTGAGACTTGAAAATGACACTCCAAATAGCCAATTTTCAAAGAATATTCTAGACATAGCTGCCGAAACCCCGCTGATTTTGGTGAGAATTGAAACATCCTGAAAGCCTGACTTCAGCAGAAAGTTCACCTTAGAGATCGTTTGGATCACATGGCCACAGATACCTGCAGAAAGACAACAGACTTGCTGTAGGCACCTTGTAGGCAGGGTTAGAGTTAGTGCAGGCATTTTGGAGAAGACCAAAATGGAAGACCATGGAGAGACCTTGGTGGACCTGTAACACATGAAGCAGAGCCCACTAGTACCAGTTGTTTCAAGTTCCTCCAATTCAATGTAAGTCATCCAGCATCATTGTCTACAGTTGAGCAGGAATGACCATCTCCTAGCTGCAGGAGCTGGATTTCCCTCTATGGAAATACTGTATGCAATATTTTGTGGTCCTTGTTGGATCATGCAGTGCACAGAACAGCTAACCAGCATGTACAGTGAGGTTAGTTATTTCCAGAACTGTCAGCAATTGCACATCAAGCAGTCCATGTATGCACATGGTAAATCAAATCACTGTCTGTTTTCTGCTCACCTCTCAGGAAGAGGTAATTGCAGTTTGCAATTGCTTTTCAAAATTGTTGTGTTTAGTCTCAGATGTCTTGAGACATGACTGGTGAGCAGCCTGCAGACTGGCCAGCTGGCTCTGGCAACCAGGGCAGGCTTTGAGTAACCACCCTTCCTGGGGATGCCAACCCTATTGTGAGACCACATGTACACCTTTTGTGTGACAGGGACACCTGAATTTTGGTTAAGACAGGGAAGAGGACATGCGAACCCCAGAAAGGATGACCATAGGTGAACTGCCTTGCTAGAGGTAGCTGTAGTCAACTAACTGCTGTATTTACACCATTTCCCAAAGTGATGCTTTGGACCCCTAGTTATAAGGTTAATTATAATACTTAAAGCTTACAGTTTGTATTTTTATATAAAGAATAAACTAAGTGCATATATCTATATGGAATATAGGTCGTTCTGTATCACGTTCCTTGGTACATTGAAGTACATGTTTCAGAGGAAATGCACAGTTCAGTTGTACAACAGAGCAATTTTTGATAGAATTCTTATTTCTCTCTTGCTTCTTTTTTTTCCAACAGTTTATGAAGAACCAGAAGACCCCAGTAACAGATCATTCTTTTCAGAAATAATCTCTTCAGTGTCAGATGTCAAATTCAGTCACAGTGGTAGATACATGCTAACGAGAGATTACCTCACTGTCAAAGTTTGGGATCTGAACATGGAAACGAAGCCCGTAGAAACATACCAGGTAGGTATCTCCTACATCTTGAAATGCAACAACATAAAAGCAGGTCACTATTCAAAAACACAGTATTTTTCTGGGATGTTTAGGAATGCTTTCCTAAACTTCTCATTTCTTGGTCTGAGAAGCAACTAGCTAAGAGAGCTGTGGTTAAAATCCTCACAGTGGCATCACTGTAGTTGGAAAAGGGTAATTTCAGCATTAGTAAGGAAGTGTATGGCCTGGGGAGTGAGAGTAGCACTCACTGTGGATTGGGTTCATGAAGGTAATGATGCTTCTAACAAGAGAAATTGTCTCTTCACTTTGGCATCTGTTTTCAAATGATGTATTTCGCTATTAACATTTAAAAGTAACTGAGGAAAGGATTTTGTGTGTTCTTAGCATTCAGCTCCCGCTGGGACTGCTGAGAGTTTACACCTTTGTCATTTCAGAACTTCATTTAAAAACTTCATCTATGCATTTCTCCCTTGTGCCTAGTTCTAGAAGCAATCAGTTCAGCCCTGACATCACCACTGACACAGCAGTTCCTGAATGCCAGACAGACACATCTGGTTGCCTGAATTCATTGTGATATTATCCAGACAAAATGCCAGTGGCTCCAGCCAGCTGAGCTTGTACTCTGACATCTGTTCTGTTTGGCAATATAAGGCTGCACTTACATTTTTTAACTCTGCTTTGAAGAAGAAAAATATATCTGTGACACAGAAACTGCTTGTTATGAAAGCACAATGAGAAAAAATGTTAACCTACCTACAGAAGAGTATGCAAAGCAGGAAAAACATCATTCATCTGGCTCGTAGGGCTTACTAAGACATAGTCCTGTGACAGCACTGGAACGATCCCTTGTTTTCTCTGTCTATATAATGGCATTTGTGGTACAGTAGTTCACAATGATTATAGCTAAGATTGATTTAAAATAACATGTAATGAGAGTTTGGTAGCATGTCTTGTCAAAACAACTGAAATTTTACATCAATGATGTTGAGGATATTTATCAGCTAGTGTTCAGTAGACAAAGTGGGCCCAAGTGTTATCTAGTACACCCATTACATTTCAGTGGATACTCTTCAGTGTATCTCCTGTAAGTGTTGGAAAGTCTGAGCCTCTATACCTTTAAGACTACAGAATTGGTTTTCCTCTGAAAATGGCAGCACTTGTAATGCTAAATGTGTTAGAAATGTTGATATGCTGTGAAAATGGAGTGGGAAGATAAGGGCGAGACTGTGTTTTATATAACAGAATCACAGCTCAGATTTGGGGAACTTAGATAATATATTATTTTATACGTATGTGATTGGAGTATGCAGTCTTATCCCTGGAGAGGAATAGCTGCTCAAGCCAACCTGTTTGTCTTGACTGACATCTGCTTGTATTTCCTCATGTAGGTAGCTATGAAACAAGCTGGCCACCTTTAAATCTGTCTGAGATCCAACAGTGGTGGCAATTAGAAAGTTATGTTTCTCCATGTTGAGAATGTAAAAGCTACACAGATGCATTGCTAAGTGTTACAGTGGGCTAAAGAATCTGGAACTCATCGGCTTTTGGAAGCCAATAGCACAGGACTCCATAGGATTCACACAGTCCAGCTGCTCTGGGCAGCCTTTCATGGTTTTCAGCTGCAGAGAGTAGAGAATTCTGTTCTTAAGCAAAGGGTTCTCAATTACTCTTTTAAATAATTTGTCTTAGTGGCATTTCTCTCTCACGTAACTAAATCTCATGTATAAACTTGGAAATCTCTCTAAAAGTTTGTTGTGGCAGATCACCCGAAGGCAACAGATAAAGCGACCATTATCCATGCACATAATCCTGATGGCATGTATATCATTAAAAGAGTAAAAGATATTCATTAAAAGATTCAATTTCTCATTTCATCCACTGCATGGTAGCCACTTAGCTGTGAGACTCATGAGGAGGGTCACAACAGGAGATATCCCCGCAGGGCTGTAAGGAAGAGCAAAGTTTGTAACTGTACTGCTTCATTATCAGGTTACAATTTTAGTAACACCAAAAAAAATTCCTCATGCAAGTTCTTTTGCTTACCATTGCTGTGGCTAAAAGAATGCTATTGCATAGAGCAGCTGTTGCAGCCTTGCTGAAATGTATCTGCTGACAATGATTCAACATGATTTTCTCCTGGTTTTGCTTCACATGAAAGCAGAAAGGCAATGCATGATGCACTGGACAGCACTGAAAGAGCAATACAGTGGAATGGCCAGTGCTTGAATGTTGCAGGGCAGCCCTACCTAACAGGATGCTCTTCTGATGCTGCCAGGTCAATCACCCCAGCAGAACTGTACCAGCAACAGCCAGAGGTGAACACATTCATAGCTGATAATGGCTTGATCCGCTTTTAGCAGGGTCTGTTGCATAGGGATTTGGACTAACATGTCACACCAGTGCAATTTCTGATTGTGACTATTCAGTTCCAGTGAAATAGCTCCCTGTGTAGTTGTGTTGCTCTCTCAGTTTGAAGCACAGAATTACTAGATAATTTCATGAAGGTCTGACCTAAAACAGGGCAGTGAAGAAACGGATGTCTTTTGTAATCAGTTAGGAGTGAATTAGGTTTACATTCAAGTACTATTCATATGTGGTAAGGACTATATGTAGCAGACAAGGCAAATCTGATTTTACCCTCAATTGGTAGTGGCAGATGAACATGTAAACAAGGGGAGAATTTATTTATTCCACTTAGTTTCTTATAGTCACTCTGAGGGTCTAAATGTGTTCAAATACAGCAGTCTTAGGGTCCACATGAAAAGGAAGCTGGTTGTCCAAGGCAGGAGTGCAAGTCTGCAGACAGTCAGTCAACAAAAAGGACCTGAGACCTTGAAGAGATCAGTAAGAAATCTGAAGGAGGAACTGCAAAATGCTTTTTGACAGAGTGATAGAAAGGCACAGCTCCAAGCTGTGGATTTGGATGCACTTTGCAAAGGGTGTATACGTGACAGTGGTCATGACAGATGGCTGCTGAAAATGATAACAAGAAGAAGACCTAGAAATGACAATCAGTGCGGCAAATGCAACTACTTCCTTCTGCCTTACTCAACCTTTCTATTACTTCCAAGGGTTTGGAGCTCACAAAGATGATAAAGGAAATTATACTGCTAACATAGCAAGGCTTGAAGTAAAGATAAAATGAAAGGATTTAATTACAGAGGGTGCAAGAAACTGCATCAGTGCTTGAAATGTTCTGACCTATTATTCACCATGAGGGTAAATGCATTTAATTGTGAAATATATTATCTGCCATTTGCCTATTATTGCTGTAGAAGACATCTGTTGATATACAAGTCAGTCCTCACTCATCTATTAATGGAAATTGATCCATAACTAAAATTTCTAATCCTTAATAACCTTACATTACAAATATTCCTAGGATACTGTGCAATTTGGCTATTGAAAATGGGTTAAAGAAAATGTAAGTGAAAGGTAATTGTCCCTCATCTGGTCTGATAGAAGCTACCAGAAGAAATGTTTATGCCCTCAAGCCAGAGAAGGATGCTGAGCATCCATGGGCAGGAGCAGTCTCCCTGGACTTGCAAGAACCAATACCTCTCTATGTCAGAGCTAAATTATGCCCCTTGGCTATGGGATTGGTATGTGTGCTCTGAGAGGCCATCCACAGGTCTTTGTTTTACAGTTCTTACAACAGCTAGAAGAAAGCATCAGGAGTGAAACTGCATTAGTAAATTCGTCTAGGCAGGGATTTTCTAGCTCATTATTTCCTTGTGGAATGAAACCAATCATCCAGAAGGAAAATCTAATCAAATTCAGCAAAGGATTGAAGCAGTTTGTATGAGAGCTGTCTCTTTATTCTAACTCTTGTTCAGCAGAGATGTGTGGCCCAGAGGAGAGATCTGCTGCTTAGTCCCGCTTTTCAAATATATATATAAGTGAGAATTTACAATGTTGTTTTTAAGTCTCAGCCAAGTAGGAGATATCCTTGGGCTAAATTAGTGTTCTACTTTGCAGCCTGTGCAACTACAAATATACTGTATTTGACTTCTGAAATACCTTACCCAAATATATGCAATACCATACATACAGGTTCTTTTAAGAGAGCCAAGTTCTTTCTGCCTCAAGTAAAACTCCGCTTATCTTGGAATATGACATTTTTGTTACTATTTAAATTAGATTTCTTGCACATTAATTAGCACATCCAGGGTATCAGCTGGTGAAATGTCTTTGGGAATTAGGCTAACACTGAGAAAATCACCCAAGCAGGAAGCAAATATGTTGAAGAGGGGTGGTCTGCAGCCTGCTGAGGGAGGTATGCTTCGTGCCTTCCTGCAACAATAATTCTGTAGCACCAGGTTAATTGGACTGTGGAAAAGTACAGATAGCTTCTTTAGGGTTTAAATACAGCATGTTCTGCAAGGCTACCAATCTGTGCAGCATATTTGGAAAGTGAACATGGGAGATAAAGCAGAGTGTGGGGGGCTGGTTGTGGAGCTTTATATTTAGTTTTATTCCAAGAATAACAGCAGCTGTTTTCTTTGAAACAGGTCCATGATTACCTTAGGAGCAAGTTGTGTTCCCTCTATGAAAATGACTGCATCTTTGACAAGTTTGAATGTGCATGGAATGGATCAGACAGGTAATTCATCTCTATGTCCATCATTGTCTTCATTTACCAAAAGAGCGCCCATGTAGTGGGGAGTGATCAGAAAGTGAAGTGTTACATGTGTTTATTTTCCACATCATAGAATCATAGAATAGTTAGGGTTGGAAAGGACCTTAAGATCATCTAGTTCCAACCCCCCTGCCATGTGCAGGGACACCTCACACTAAACCACTAAACAGTTTGCATCTTCACAGGTTCAGGTGATAAAAGGTGTTTGGATATTGGTGGGGTTGTACCTCTGACCTGCTTACGCATGGTGTATACGTTGTTAGTCTTGGTTCATGCCTTAGGGGGAAAAACCCTTCCAATTCTGTCTGTTTTCACCAAAATCATAAGTGGGCTGCAAAAGTTAAAAGAATGCTGTCAACTTGCACAGCCCCGCCAACACACTGAGGAAGCTTCTGTGATCCTCTATTTACCCATGAGCTGCTTCAGAAATTCAGCTCATTTACTGTAAATGGGGAGCGAGGAAAGGCAGCCACAAGCACCCACTGGTTCTCTGCAAACTGCTGCCAAATGACAGTTTTTTTCTGGTACCTACCTCCACCAGAGCAGTCCCTTTCCCTGTGCACTGAAGGAGAGCTCCTTGTTTTTATCTTGGACATAAAACCTTGTTGAGTATTTTAATGAGAAATACTGGCACAGCAAGTCAGAGAGTGCGAGCTAGGATGCAGTGTGGTAATGCTGTAATGTTAGCAAATTATGGCAGTACTTTGGGAAGTAGGAATATTGTACAGGAAAAACTGAGTAGCCGAGAGGAATGGGATAATAAAAATGGATGAAATCCAAGAGTATAATGCAGGGTGAAGATTTTAGTTAAAAGAAGACACAAACCTTCATGTTATCAGTTGGAAACAACTCACAGAGATGTTCATATGCTAGGTGACTGTGGAAGGGATTAGCAGTCTACAAAATGCATGTGAAAGAGAGAACAGGAGCCAATTTTGAATGGTACACAGTGACTCCTGGCTCAGCAATGCTATGAGCCAAGAGGCAAAGGTTTGGCACATGCTGAAGGCCTGGAACTGTGCCTTCAGCTCACTTAGCATCTCATTTGGAAAAGGGAAAACCAGTTCATCTCATTGTATTTGTAGCAGGCCTGCCCCCATGAACTGAGCAAGGATTATGAAACAGAGTGTGGGGCAGCTGTGAAAAAGGCAGATATGATCTTTGAATGGGGAAGGCTGGGATATCCAGCAGAGAAAAAGAACTACATGATGTTAGGGTCTTATTCAAAGACCTATGGACTGCAGTTACACATTTCTTGTCCCTCATCTCCAAGGTGGAGGAACTAATGAACAGCTGCTCTAAAGAGAGGAGAGGGCAGGAGTTTGTTTTTGATCAGCTTAGCAAAAGAGAAGCCAAGATTATACTTCCTTCTAGTAGGTATATCATCGTGAGGAAGAGGATCTAGCTAAAATAGATGTGAATGACACAACAGCGAATAGCTACAGAACAGGTAATGATAGCCTTGAAATTAGAGGTAGTTTGTACCTATTCAGACAGTGACAGTGTAGAGCACTCTCCTGGTCCTGAGTAGTGGAGTTGTAAGCAGCACAATTGTTTTGATGAAGGTGCTCAGGAAATTTGTGAAAGCAGTTATATGAGACATTGCTTAAAATGCAAGTGTCTGAACCTGGAAGTTCAGAGCAAGGTCTCTTCCATTCCTGTGTTCCACAAATGCAGACTAAGTCTAATGCTGTACCCTGTGTAAGGGGCATCTTCCCTTTGGGCTGCTTTCCTTTGCTCAGTTCCTGCACCTGCCCAATGGAGAGATTCTGTGTTTATAGAATCATAGACTGGTTTGGGTTGGAAGGGACCTTAAAGCTCATCCAGTTCCAACCCCCTGCCACAGGCAAGGACACCTTCCACTAGACCAGGTTGCTCCAAGCCCCGTCCAACCTGGCCTTGAACACTGCCAGGGACGGGACAGCCACAGCTTTTCTGGACATCCTGTGCCAGCATCTCTCCATCCTCACAGTAAAGAACTTCCTAATATCTAATCTAAATCTACTCTTATCTTAGAGCCATTCCCTCTTGTCCTATCACTACCTGCCCTTCTCAAAAGTCCTTCTCCCTCTCTCTTATTTACTAATAAATAAACTTTTACCATGTGTCATTTATTATGCAAGTAAAACTATATTCTTCCATGATCTCTGTTGTCTGCATGCCAGGGTAGTGTGTTTTCTGGCAAGGAGTAACTCAGCATTGAGTATCCCCTGTGATACAAACTGCCGGTCATTTTAAATGAATTCAGTAGACCACACTGGGCAAAATCCTTCCCAGATTGCTATGACTGCAACTTGGGCACCAGCTGTTGTTGTGGAAATGGTTTTGATATGGTCAGGAAGGGGGAATGACCCACAGAAGTTTTATGTTTTTCTCTGAACCCCCCAGACCCGTGAATGAATGGGTGTTTTAGCAGAGGGTTATCTCAGCAGACTGGTTACTGCTTGAATTTGATCTTACTAGAAATACCAAAATTAAAGCATTTATTGGAAATATGGACAGTGCTGTCCCCCACCTAAATCTGGCACAGAAGAACAGCACAATCAAATCATTTAGATGTTGTGAAACTTTGAAGCCCAGAAGCCCCCAACTCTCAGGGATTTTCACATCCTTTCAAACCACTTCACTTATCTTTGATGGGAATTCCCAGTGCATTGTAGAGGATGGTCACTTGTTCCCAGACTCAGTCTCCTGTAGTCAAATGAAGTGCTCCCGTCCTCAGTAGTGCTGTAAGACCTGTCTCTGGATAGTTGCCTGGTAATAATAGAAGTATTATTCAATATAAGGATTTAAAGTAAGCGTAATATTTTTGTTCCTACTTGACAGATCAGAAAGATCAATGCAGTGAGTAATTATTAAGTGGGAACATTAGATTGTGAGGGCTTCATTTATTGTACTGCCAAGACACTGACGCGTTACTAGTCGTGCACAATTACCAAATCCGTCACTGAACACAATACGCTGCTCTTGATTGTAAGAAACTGTTGAGTAGAGTAGCTGGCAATATTTGACAAAAGATAAGGGTTCTCTTTAATTTAGTTGTTTCTTTCTAAGAGTCAAATATATCAGCACTGATGTGAATCTTTTGAGGAACATCTGAGCTTCATGCTTCTGTGTATGATAAGTATTGTATTGTTTTGCTACACACTACAAGGATGGTATTTTTTGTGGGTGTTAAATTATATTTGGCTACCAGTAACTCTTAAAGAACAGTTAATTTGGACAGCAAGGTCACTCAATTTGATCCTCTTGGTATGTATGTTTTCTTAAAAGGACTACTGCTAAGGGTAAGCAATACTTAATAAAAAAGGTACTCTTAAGAGATGCTGCAGTATGTGACAGTATACTGCACATATATGTATACACATATCTACATAACTAATAACTACAGTTTTTAACATGTTAATTTTATCTTTGGGGACTTTAAAGCTACAATGACAATCTGAAGTGACAGGATTGCTGTTAAAAATTAAAACGTGTTTATTATTTAGGTGAAAATCCTTTATTATTTTTTGTCATTACTGAGGAGTTAATCTGGGCTATGATAGAACCTGATGGTGAGGCTGTTTACAAAAAAATCAATGTACGTGAGCTCTGATTAGAACGTGATTGATGCTCAGTTACTCCAATGAACAGGAACTAATACAATCAGACAGAGCCGATCTCATTTGCTGAAGGGCACATTAATCACTATGTACTTTGGCAACAACGGTGGTCAGGGGGGGAGTCAAGCAGGGGTCTTACACTGATTCAACCAGATGAGCACATATTATCTCTAGCTGAGTATATTACACTAAAATCATGCCATCTTTATTGTATATACATCATTACGTGACTATGTAGAATACGTGATCTCTATTTATACAGCAATGTAATTTAGTTCTTCCATTCACTTCCATAGTCATATCTTTTAATAATGACCTGCAAGATGCTGTTTTCTTCCCACTGTCAAACAAATGAATTTTGCTATTTCAGTCTTACCACAAAATTTAGCACCTTTGCAGCTGTTTGTGTGTTAAAGAGCCAGTAAAAGATAAAAATAACAGTAATTCTACACGGTAAATACCTTCATTACTTTTTTTAAGATTTCATATCAATGAGTGTATGGGAACCCTTCTAGGGAGACTTCTGAATACTATAATGATAAGTGATAGGCTGTAAGCAGATGAGTGAAGTCACATACAACTGTTCAGTCAGTCCTTTCCTACTGAACTGTCATTCATTCCACGGAATATCCGTCAGCCTTCACTCTAATCAGGCGGAATTGGCAAGTCCCAGTGGATGAGATGTTAACAGTCTATTCCTGTCTGGCAGCATGCTCCATGCTGGAGAGCTAGAGGACATCATTTATTCTTGAAGCTTGGCATGTCAAATATGAGCTTGGAAGGACTTGGGGATCCCCTGTTCTTATTCCTGGTTTTATATCAGCCAGCTGTACCACAATGCCACAGCCCTGAATCCAGTGTCTCAAACTTTTCCATCAGCATGCTCCCCAGGAGGTTTAAAGTTCGTTCTTTCTGCCTCTCTTGCCTCAGGCAGTGATGTTCTGCTGCCATATCTACAGTGAGGGGCAGGTTAGCTGGACTGCCTTTGTATTTCTATCATCCTTAAATCTGATGTGTGCCAGTCCTTAAGCCTTGCCCAGCATTAGTCCTGTCACACCATCCCATGGCTTCCTTGCTCTTGTGAGCAACAGTGAAGGAGGTGAGCTATGACATGAACTGAATTACTCCAGACAATAGAAATCCAAAGGTGAATAAATGTCTGTGCATCCAGGAAGTCTAACCTGGCCAGAGTTAGCCCAAAAAATTATTATAAAAAGGTCTTTAAAAAAAACCACACCAAAACCTGCACAAACCAATGTGAAAATAGTATGGTTTGGTTTTCAAGCAAGCCTTAGTTCCAGCTGATACTCCCAGAGCTTCAGGGTAAACCCTGACATCCCGGAAGGCAGCTGACTGGAA